TTGAAAACATTAAAATGTATTACAACGATGATATCATCAGTGAAAGTGACATTTCTTGCTTTTTTCACACACAAACGGGACTTACACTGACGATATAATTGTTGTGATATGTTTTACGGTTTTGAAACACAAATTTTTATGTTCAGCGAAGTCTCCTGAGTATAACAGTACTCCTCATGTACAGGTTTTGTGGTGTTTTCAAAAGTTACCAATTCCAATATAAGGTTTGTGTTTCAGTTTTTTCACATTGAAATTCACCAGATTGGTTATGTTGTCTTTGAGATCGTATGGTAGCCCAGGAATTAGAACTACCCCCATGACGGCATACCATTTGCAATAGTAGACAACCCTAGGTATTGTAAATGGGGTATGTCCAGTCTATTTAGAAGCCACTTAGTCACAAACACTGGCCAAAGTTAGCATTAATATTTGTTTATGTGTGCAAAATGGAAAAAATTAATCTGAAAGACAATTTTGGCCAGTGTTTGTGACTAAGTGGCTAAGAGTTAAATAATATTAATTTATGAAAATCTAATTATTTTTTGTGTTGTTTGTTTATTTGTACTGGTTTGGGGTATAGAACACCGTGTTTATTTCCCCTGCATTTCACTAATGGTGGGAAGGGAAATTTTCAGTTGACCTTTTTTTTTTTTTTTTTAATATTTTTACTCCTTCCTAAAGTCCTGGTGCTTGGTCTCTCCTCACACTGATCGGTGCACTTTTTGCAGATGAGCAGCTGTTTGCTTTAATTTTCAAAAGTTTTGATCAATGGGTTTTTCTGGTCTATGTCACCATATAGAGTGACCGGTAGTGGCTCCATTTTTTTTTAACTAGATTTCATTACTTGAGTCGGGAAAGGTAGTTTATTCCAAACTATGGATGCTTGGAAACAGTCCCCATGGCAATAGTTCAGAGCAAGGCTTAGAATGGTTCCTCCCTCCCCCAGCATGAGAATGAGCTGGCCCTGAAAAAGACCTTTGATCTCCACACCCGCCGTGCCACCCATCTAATGCCTACCACCTCAAAGCTATGACTTTGGTGGGGTTAAATTAATTTTAGACCTGGTTGTCATGAATTACCATGGCAACTCTCTGATGCTACTCAGATGATACTACACACTATACACACACCAACTGCGAAAAGAGCATACTCAGTCTAGTCCTGGCAAAACTACAGGCTAGAATCAATATCTGCCAGACCACTAGAGACTGGCATGTCCCTTCCCTTGCTATCGTTAAGAAGCAGGGAGAGAGGAATAACCTTAAGCAATAAATAAAAATATATCCCTCCTCACAAATTCACACACTACATTGGCTGCATATATACACTATCTCCTCCCTTACACACTACAAAAACTACTTTGCTTACACACACACTATATTCATTAAACACACACCACATCCTCTGTATGTACACACTTACACTCTCTCGAGCCCCTATACACACAAACACTTGCTACATCTCCTATAACCACACCCAATACATCCCATATGCACATAGGCCGAAGCTTACTGTAATTATGGTACGGGTGGTTTTATGAATTTTCTTCTAAATTTAAATTTAAATATTTGGGTGGGCTTTATTTTATTGTATTTATTTATTACTGGTATTTATAAAGCACCAACAGATTTTTTACATTCTGGTATGTCTTATATTCTCTAAAATACCATATAAATTATCCTTTATCTTGCAATATTTCAGAAGGGGTTTGAAATATTAGCAGAAATATAATTTTGTCACATACACCATCTACAACAAATGCGGATAAATTTTAAAAAAAAATGCAAATATCCAACATATGGGTCTTTGTAAGGTACATTAGCCAGCATAGAAGTCCAGTAGTGTGCTTAGAGTCATACCTTCCATGTTGGATAATGGACAGAGTTATTTGTTCACATAGGAATTTAAAATTTAACATTTTAGTCCAAAACAGCCAATCTGGAAAATTTAGACTATTTCTAATCTGTGTATTGTGACCTAAAATTTAAAATTTCCTGGTTAACGTGTAGTTTGTTTCTGATCTGTGTGGGAGTTATTAACATTCCGAGGAGAAGACTGACAAACAGAGTTCGGAATTGACAGCAAGGAGATTTTTACATATTTAAGAATCAAATTCTATATGGGGAAATTTTTGGAGTTTCAGGTGGATAAAAATATGAATAACCTTAACCCCTTAAGGACCAAACTTCTGGAATAAAAGGGAATCATGACATGTAACACATGTCATGTGTCCTTAAGGGGTTAAAAATATTCTGGAAAGCCATAGAAAAAAAGGACATATAACTACAGTATATACTCGAGTATAAGTCTAGTTTTTCAGCACATTTTTTGTGCTTAAAAACCCCCACTCGACTTATACTCGAGTCACTGTCTGTATTATGGCAACTTAGAGAGCCGCGGCCGTCAGAGCCATGGCAACGATCCGCGCGGCAACCAGACCGCGAGACTTACAGCGGAGCTGACCGTAACGGAGGAGAAGGGAGCTGACAGGAGCTGCAGGAAAGGTAAGTAAATGCTTCCTGCCGGCCCCCCCACTTCACAGCCCATGCCACTGGACCACCAGGGATTAAGATAGCCCTCCTCCCTGACCAGTTAACAAGCAGGGAGGAGGGACAAAATAAAATTAAAATAATAAAAAAATAATAATATTAAAATTAAAAAAATTAAAATAATAAAAATGCCCTCCCCACCCAGTTCACACACACTACACAAACAAACACTCTGCATTATATACACAGAGTGTGTGTATATAATGCAGAGTGTGTGTTTGTATGAGTATGTGTGTGTATATAATGCAGAGTGTGTGTATATAGTGCAGAGTGTGTGTTTGTATGAGTGTGTGGGTATATATAATGCAGAGTGTGTGTTTGTATGAGTGTGTGTGTGTGTATATAATGCAGAGTGTGTGTGTATATAATGCAGAGTGTGTGTTTGTATGAGTGTGTGTGTATATATAATGCAGAGTGTGTGTTTGTATGAATGTGTGTGTATATAATTATAAAAATCACAGAATTTCATAGCCCCAAGTTTTACCCTCGACTTATCCACGAGGCATAGCATATTTCACAATTGTTGGTCACAAAACTGCACTTGACTTATACATGAGATCGACTTATACACGAGTATATACGGTAGATGTTATGAATTTCTAAAAGACTCTCAGAAGTCCCAGGTGTGGAAATCCAAGACGAAGTGGGAAAAGGACCTACATATTGAAATCACAGAGCAAGATATGATAAGGGTGTTAGTTAAGGTGAATAAATTGGTACATTGCCTTAATATAGTAGAGAATTTTTATAAGCTCATAAATAGATGGTATATGGTTCCTGAAAATTGGCTAAAATATATAAAAATCAGCAAAATAAATGTTGGAGATGTGCTGCTGGGAAAGGAGACTATCTCCATATATGGTGGCAATGTAAACACTTAAGTAAGCTATGGAAGAGTATTTATGAACAGATTTATGCTACCTGTCAGATATATATACCTTTTACACCACAGAGCTTCCTGTTACACCTGGGATGGCCCTCTATGCCCACTGAAAAAAGTATGCTAATAATTCATATTTTGATGGCAGCTAGGATAGTGCTGGCAAGGCATTGGAATAGTAACAAGGTTTAAGAGTGGGATGAAATTAAAAAACAATTGATATATCAACGTAAAATGGAAATTGGAATAATTCAAGGGAATTCAGTTGGATTAACGAAAATCAGTAGATGGATAAAAATGGCTGAAAAGCTCCTGATTAGTAATTAATGTTTACATTAAAGAAGGTTGATGAAGCTCCCTTGGTGTGTCTGGGTATAGAGAGAATCTAGAGGAAGGGTTACGTCCAGTTGGCAAGTACGGTAACTAATAAAGGGTTATGTATAAAGAGTTATAAAACAAAAAACTATTATCTGGGGACTGTGAATGTATCAGAGAGTGTTTGTCCTTTTTATGTTGTTACTTTAATTTTGCAATATATGTAGCATATGAATATGGTTTCTCACCGCTGTTCCCCTTAGTTTCATAGTACATGAATCATATTTGAATATATGTAATGCAATTTGAGATACTGTATGTATTGAAATAATATATGGATATTCTGTTCTTACTGCTTCTTATCTAGTATTGAGGTTAAAGTTTTACAACTGAATATTTGTTTTGCAATTTGAGGTACTGGATGTATGGATGTTTTTTGTGAAATTATGGAAAATAAAACATAATATATATATATATATATATATATATATATAAAAAAAACATTCAGAGGAGAAGCCGATCAGAATAGTGTTGTATTGTATAGCCTTGTTTAGTTGGTATGGGTATTGCCATACTGCAAGTAGTTTTGACTCTACAGCTGTCTGCAGAAACTACAACTCCCAGCATGCATCGGGACTCTGAGCAACTATTCAATACAGTGCTCTAGACCAGGGCTGTCCAAACAGGGTAGATCTAGGCTGTTGTGGAAATACAACCCACTAATGCTCAGCAAGAATGTCTAAACAGCCGTGTTTGTTGTAATCCCACAATCTGTCTCAAAGTACTAGTCAGGTTTAAACACTACAACTTCCAGCATGCCTCAGCAGCTTTACATCAGCGACTACATATACCGGCATGCCTCGCTACTGTTAGGAACTACGAATTCAATCATGCATAGCATAATATCTGTGCGGACTCCGGCTAATGCGGTGCATTATAAAAATATAAAAAGTACTTCTGCATTTCAGTCTGTCCCTGTTTATCAGTGTACACAAAGTGCGGCAACTCCACTTACACGCCAGACTCCTCAAAGACAGATTCCTTAAGAGACTACAACTCCCAGCATGTCCAGCGGCCGCTTCTTACGCAGCTGCGCAATGGTGACGTAAGACTTCGTCGCGATGCACACAGACTACGTTTCCCGGCATGCTCCGCGCGCTCTCCAGAGGGGACCAGTGGGGATGACTCCATGTCCCGGCATGCACCTGGCAGCTTGGAGGGGAGAAGGGGGGGCGGAGAAGGCGGCGCCAGCAGCGGGCGGAGGCGGCTCAGAGACACTCAGCGCAGAGACACGGAGGAGGAGAGAGATCGGTGAGACCGGGGGAAATACCGGAGAGAGGGAGTGAGAGCTTGCAGGGAACACACCGGGGCCCGCGGCCGTGCATGCACCCGGAGAAGCCGCCAGCAGGACAGCCCGGGGAGCGGCGGACAGACCCCTGGATACAGTGACAGCGCTCCGGGACTCCCAGCCAGCCAGCCACCCCGGGGCTCACCGCACGGCCCGCACCGGGAACCGGCTCACCGCCAGCCCGCACCCCCCGGGGGAAACAGCGCTTACCAAGGCCCCGCGGACAGCCCGGCCCCGGGATGATGTGACCATGCTTACCGTGAGCGGAGCCGGAGCAGCCATGAGTGGCCGAGAGCAGCCGGAGCCGGCGGGGAGCGGTCAGTGTCCAGTCACCGGGGAGACAGACAGGGAGGGAGGGGGGGTGGAGGTTACTGGGCACCGTGTGTCTGTGTGTGATTCATTACAGCCAGCCCGCCAGCCAGCCCGGGCACTGCCAGCACTGCGCTCTCACCACCACACTGCCTGCCCGGGCTGCTGGCTGGGAGTCCTGGGAGGGGTAGCTCTCAGATACCTGGGGTGTCAAGGTTAGCTGTGAGTGAATGCTGGCTGCACACAGGGTCAGTGTGAGTATAAATAGACTGAGAACAGGATGCATTGCAATCACACACTCACTGAGACTACCCACAGGGCTTTTATTGTCAGCATCGCCTGCCTGTCTCACTGTACAAACACCGGCAATTAAGATAAATATATAACAGGGGACGGCTTGTGGGTTTTTTTTTTTTTTTTTAAACATTTATAAAAAATGTTTTATCCTATAAGGACCAATTTGAGGTAGTCTCCTACTCTCTCTTGATACCCTGGAGACTGTCTCATTCAGACTGTATAAGTAGGATGTCTCCACGCTCAGTAACCGTCTCTTATTTCCTCTCCGTCCCCCTCTAATTCCCCAATCTCTACCTGTCTGCTCCCAGTGTGTCTCTGCCTCCCATCCCTCTTTCTATAAACCCCAGGTGACTGTCTCACAGAGATATCGACCAATCTGTATAGCATGTCTGTAGCAGTCACTCGCTAATCCCCATTTCCTCTCAGGCTTTCAGTCTTTAAACCTGTCTCTACCTCTGTATGTGTGTATGTATGTGTGATTTTATGTCCTATGTTCTCTTTAAGCGTATATCGCTGTGATCTGCTTCTCCAAGATATCTGGATGCCAGTTTTCTGATCTGTTTTCACATATAAATCTATAGGTGCCTAGGGCTTTCTGAAATGGTCACACAGGCCTCTGCTTTTATCACACTGACTTCTTAAGTGTCAAGGCCTCCATGCATGTAACTCATTGTACATGCGGCTTTACATGTTTATTACGGTATAGTAGTATATATGTCTATTGTAGTTTTTTATATTATTGCAAATCTATCCAGGTGCAAACATTTTTCAGAATCCGTATTGGATGCTAATATTTCCTCATTTACTGTCTCTTACACTTCAATGTATGTTCAGTTGTGTGTACCAACGCTAAATACATTTTGTTTTTACATTCACAGACCTTGACATTATCATTTCTATGTGTATATATACCAAACACACACACACACACACCAATTGGGGGTTGTAGATGTAGGCTACAAAACATTGTTTCGCCTATGCGGAACACTAAATCCCCTCATAGGCAATTCAGATTAACATCAAACCTTATCTTCTTCCATTTCTCTTCTGTATCTGTTTCATGTGGTCTCTTTTCAGGTAGCTTCCTCTTTTAATCTCTTGTAGAATCCAGTTTCCTAAAAGTTTGTGTCTTTCAAATTAAAATGGCCACCTCATCATTTAGATTCTTCCTTAATAGCATGTATAATTTTATTTCAGTAAAGTTTTTACGTGCGTTAAAATCTGCCAAAGAACTTGGCTCATTCTCCCTTGCTTCTCTTCCTCCCTTCCCCCTCTCCTCTAATTAAAAGGTGCCATTATACCCTGAGAGGTGGGAGGAAGAAGGGAGGATCAGGGGACATATGTCCCAGCTCAGGTGACATTCATTGTATGTGTCCCTCTCACTTCCTCTGCTCATAGGAGCGTGTTGAGGATGGGTTAAAGAACCTAGATCATTCTATAATGCTCTTGCTGTGGACTCTTTGTAGTCCTTACAATGTTATGTGTATAACTGGAAAACATTAATTCCCCTTTAAATTTAAACACATTTTAATGCAATAAATTGCGTGACATTTATTCAGTTTTGTTCAATTCATTTACAATGTTCTGAAGTTTACCCATTTTCCCTCTATTGAAAATGCAACCCTATATATAATTTCTTTTTTAAGTGTGAGTGTTTTTATATCACAGGCAAAAACAATGACACTCTGGGTCTTTGCAGCCAATCAGTACTAAGGGGAGGTGGCTGGGAGACTATCACGCACATATATACATATTTACATACACACTCTGTCTGGAGCAGCCTGTGGAGGCACATAGGCAAGAACAAGGCAGGTTAGAAGTGTGTATAAATGTATATTATGTGTAATTTATGTCGTGGCATATCTTTTATATACATGCAAATGTTTTAGTTATTCTTTTGTGTTTGTGTATATTTTAAAACCATTTTTTCTTCTATAGGAATTTGTCATAAAACGTTTTCTGTGTCATAGCCTTGCAAATCAGTGACAGTTGTTATAGAACCATATAATCTTTTGAAGTTAATATGGCTTTGGTGTTACATATCTAAAAATGTACAAAAGTCACTCGCTTTTTAAATGATTTATAGTTTATTTTTAGCTTTATATGGTGGATATGTTTTTTGTCTTTAATTTAACAAATGATTTTGGAGCTACTCTAGCCATACAAGAATGATCTATAATTATTTTCTCAACTCAAGTTAACCCAGGGAGACCTTGCTCAGCTATGCAGTAATTCATATTGGTTGATTTAGGGTTGAATTGAAGGGGATCCCCGTTCTTGTCAGCAGATGTTGCCTACATAATTTTACTTTAGAGACACCATGCTTAAAGCTGTGTTAATGGAAATGATTCCCAACATTATGAGACGGAAAAAGTTGCATAGATTATAATGTCCGTTCTGGTGCAAACACTGTTAGCAGATTTTTAAACTAGAATCAAGTCTAAATTCATGGTATGTTTGATGGTTGCTTGTTTAAGTGCCCTGTAGAGGAAACAAAGTATTTTGTAGGTACAAATGTAAAGGTTAAATTAGTGAATATATTTTGCTATTTTGAATTTTATTTGATAAACAAAATAATTCAGTACTGTTCATAATACAGGATTGTGCATAAAAACTGCACTGCCTTACTATTAAATAATGGGACTCATCTCCCACAATCTACACATGCATTTTTGCATGTCAGTTTTTCTTTGCACTCCCAGGACAACTCATGGAGTGGCATCTTCTATTTTGCTGTGCGTTTGCACTTCTCAATCTGTTTCCTGTCTTGTGCTGTTATTTAGGTTAACCAAGTCTGTCAATCTAGGGTTAATCGACATCCAGTTTTCCTGCTAAGGTGGAACTGCATGCCTCATGATGCCCAGCAATCCTTGAAAAAGAAAAAGGGAGTGTCTGTGTCCGTCTGAATTATGGCAACTGTAGTTCCATGACAACTGTAGAATTGTATGTTGGCTAACCATGATATGTTGAATGTTTTTTATTCTAATGGCATAGCTCATTTAGCGTGCTAATATATTTTAAGACAGGGTTGCAAGTTCAATTAAAAACTGAATGTATCTCTATTAGTTTATTTTTATTATTTTTTTTCATCTAAATGTTTTGTCCTATCCTTGCGTGTCTATTGTGACACTTTTTTTTGGCCTATCCTTGTTTGTGCTGTTCTGCTAATTCTGCACTTCCTTCAGGGTCTCACTTCACTACTTGCTTGCTATCCTGGACTGTTGGCGCATTATTGCTCTGTTCATTTTTCTAATTTTACAACTTAATCTCTTTTTTGGGGGTCTGTCCATGTGTCCCACTTTTCCCCCACTTCTCTATCCCTACTTCGCTATCCATTATCTCCCTCTTGCAGCCTTTCTACCCTTTCTTCTCCTCCTCCCCCTTCTTGCTTTGGAACACACAGCCTTCTGCATCCCCCATTTTTATCCTTCCACAAAGTTACATGACCCTTGACTATGGCTTGGCCAGCCTTCCTGCTTTGGATTGTGATCCCTTGTTTTTCCTACAGCCTGTTTCAGAGTGGAAAAGAGTCTGTGTATCTATGAAGTGGTTATTGGGGGGGGAGATTTTGGCAGTGTTTGTATTTTTATTTCCCCTCTGTCTTGGATTTTCCACCCTGGATCAAACCCTTCCCACTAACTGCTTTATGTATGAAAAACAGCTGGACTGTGACTTGACTTAGTGATATGTTTTAAATGTTAAGTCAGGTATTACATTTTCAAAATTTTAGGAGGTAGTGTTTGTTAGGGTTTGAAAGGTTTGTGGCATTTCTTGCATATTTTATATGATGACGTTTCAATTGGTGAAAGTGATCGGTCAGTCTGTTTTTTAGTGTCTTTTGGAAGTGATGGTTGCTGGTGGTATTGTTGTAAAAAATGACAACTATAGTCAATTGAGGTGTTAGTGTTCCATGTAACCAAAGTGAAATGGGATCTGTTTTCCATTTTTGTGCTCAGTCATTGCCCATCTTTTTTCATGTTTGTGTGTATTTTATATTAACTAATTGTCAAAATAATGATGCATTGCATTCAAAATCTTTTGATGCCTACATCTGAAACGTGTAGTAGATATGAACAGATTGTGCGCTAGTAATGTATTTTGTTCATGCCCAGTGTATGTCATGTGAAATACATGTACAAGGACAATCTGTATTCATTGTGAGTCATTAAATAGCGCCACTGCCTAACAATAGTTTTTCCACATGTTTTAACAATAGTACGGTATGTGGGCTTGTACCCAGAGATTCTTTGAAATTTGCACTGTTGCATGTTTAAAATAAAAATAGGTAAACAATATAGATCATTAGCACAAATGTGTGTAGTTGTGTGTTTTATACTTGGTTCCTGTTAAATATATCCCTTGCAGTCTTCCAGCCCTGTATGTCCCTGATGTTTGCATACAAAATACTGGCTGTAGTTTCTATAGCAACAGTCTGTGGCCAAAGACAGCCTGTCAAACTTAAATATTTTTAAACATTTTGTTACATTATTGTATACAAAGTGTAACAGAGTGCCAAGGTTTTTGTTCCTTTACATAATTTGTGAATGATCAATTTAAAATATCCAAATTCTTACACAAGGATGGGAATAGTCATAGAAATCTGGAAAAAAAATGAAATCCATCTAGTGGTATCAATATGGAATTTCTGTTCTACTACAAGTCAACAGTTTATAGGAGAAGAGTAGCATTATTACCAATACCTAGATTTAAATTATTCATATATATTATTTTTTCTTTTTAACCTTTTACCTCCCCAACCAACTGGTGAGACATTGAGACAAGAGTATGCAGTTACCTGTTTCAGGGACACCCAGCTTGTTCAGAGAATTGATGAGGTTTCAAATGATCAGTGTCCTATAAAAGATACTTTTAGTTATGCGTTTTAGCCTGTAGACGTAGTGTAATCAGCAATTAACTTTTCAACTGTGGTGAAACTAAAAGTTCCCTGATGCACAGCAAATGTACTAAGAAGGAAGTAGTTGGGGGGGGAATTATTGATTTTATAAAACATTTTATTTGCTTGTCTCGGTGTATATTTTTTGCTAGCCATATTTATATTTTAATATAAAGGATCTGACATAATTTTCCTCGGTCTATAACAATAGTGGATATTCTATACAATGTTTATTCAGAGAGAAATTCACTGTATTAGAAACAAAGATATCACACACAGGTCATCCAAGTGCAGACTTCTAGTAAAACAGTATGACAGCGTTTTGGCTATGCATTATTTGAACTGTGGTTTGAGAAAGGCTTAAATGTATATTATTATTTATCAATCACCAACAAATTCTGCAGTGCTGTACAATGGATATATAGCCAAAATGTTGCCACTCCGTTTTATATAAGTCTGCACTAGAATGACATCTTTGTTTATACTATATGGAAAGGAATCTAGGCACCACTGGAAAAGTCCTTCAAAATGCATGTGCAATTCTCCCACCATACACTGTATGTCGTGGCGTTTTATTGTAATATGTAAACTCAGTTGGCCAGAACAGTGTCACACAAGCTGTTTTCACTTGACTTGGTACTAATGAGTGTCTGCTTGGAGTGTGAGTTTGTATCTGTGTCAGTGGAAGTTGGGCAATGCCCTGTGTTAAAGAGTGTGTCTCTGGGTGGATGCAACAGTTATTCACTCAGCTTACCTCACACTTCCCTTTACTTCCTGTCAAAATGTGACCCCACTCATTCTGGTAAAAACGGCTCTTTATTTAAACCTGTCCTTCAGGGCAAAAGGTCTTTTTTCTGACTTAAAAAAAATCTAAGTGAGAAATCCCCAGGAGTCAGGAAGCATAGGTTCCCAAAATAACTCCCAAGACTTCTAGAAATTTCTGTCTTATGAGAAGTTTGTATAGTTATAGTGAAAGTGTGTGTGTGTGTGTGTGTGTGTGTGTATATATATATATATATATATATATATATATATATATATATATATATATATATCTCTGTCCATTTTACTCATATTGGTTATTTTAATGATCTGTAAAGTATAAACGTGTCTGTACATGCTTTTATATGTATTTTACTACCAAAAAATGAGTTGCAGGGACTTT